ATCGCTGTTTTTGATCTGATAAACACTCATCACCTCAGCGATTTTGGATGAATGCTGAATACGTGGCGTATCCCGAAAGAGTTTAGAAGGCATATTTAAATGCTTGATACAATCAGCCGCGTGGAATGACGTCTTACATTCAATGTTATTCCTCCTGGTATCCATCGCTGACATGCCATCGTGCCTTGGAATGCGCCATGCCTGTGACCAATAGTCGGGACGAGTGGGCTGGTGCGCACTGCATTCACTCAGATATCTACAAAGCTACCTATCATCATTTACATTTTATATCTTTGCTTCAAAAATGTGTTGTTTCCCAACTAATCGACTCTCACGAAATGACAATTATGTGAAAACGGCTGGCGGATTGATCCCGATGCCTATGAAAATCGGTGTTTCGTTTGCCCGGATCTTTTGATTTTGAAATTCTGTGCACGATCCCAGAGCAACAGATAATTATAACTGTTACGAACAGTTGTGTGTATGCGTCTGATAGCGCCCGTACCCCTATCAACGTGATGATCTGCGGTGTCGGAGCACAGCTGTCTTCCATAAGTACCTGTCAACAACGCCCGGAGAAGCCACGTGAAACCGGCCGATCACAAAAGAAAGCGAATTATCGATTATTTAACTGATAGCCTTGAATTTGGAACTTTCTATAATAATCATTTCAATCACTATGAACCTTTGATCAATAAGTTTTGATTGGAAATTGCCGGAGAAAAAGTTCATGGCGCACTCAAAAATTCCGCGCTCGAGCTAAACACTATACTTCTTTCAATAATTATTTTTTCATTACTTATTAGGACTAAAGCATTACCGCTGCTTATATTTTCACATACTCAAACGTAAGAAGTCGCCAGGCACTGCCGCGTGCGGTCGTGTCGCGTTACTGATATAAAATGGGTCGAGAAACCGTGCTGTGAATACTCCCAAACCATATGAACACATAAGAAAGTCGAAATATAAACCAACTTGATGAGGACGGAAAGATTGAATCACTTCGCGAACTGCCGCAACGCGACCGCACGCGTCCGCTCCTGGCGTTCTCAAGTATCACCGCCCTGAAACGGAATGAACTGCATTTACTGTTTCGAAACTAGGAGCTTTTGGCCATCACTATCATTGTGTCATGCCTGCTGTCCAAAAAAACTTTTGAGTGAGTGACGTATCGAGGGGTTCTGCCGTGCTGATAATGCATTTCTTCGAATTTTTTTCGAAGTAATGAAATCTTGACCGAACGGGCTGATAACAGCTGGGAACACCACCCCAACAACGTCTCGTCTATCTGATACATCGTACATTCTGAGCGTTTATTCGACACTAAAGGCGACTGAACAGGCACACAAATATACCCATGGGAACAATTAGAACGACACAAATCGGTAGAAAATAACAGATTCAATCGATCAATAACAGGTTGAACCAGTAGCAAACACAAGCCACAGAGTTCTATCCACTAAAAACTGCAAAATATAACGGTAAGGAAAATGATGATACAAAAGTACGTCAACAGTATTGAGAGTTCGATAAGGTATCAGAAAGCGATTTGTACACAGCTGAGAAAGCCTGCAGGGAACACGATTTGGGAAAATCGAGAAGACCAGCAACGAAACGGAAGTGAACGCTGGGTTTAGGCCGCTTGAGCCGCCGGAGGAAATGCTGGTGGTTCACGAGGTTGCAAATTAAAATGCAGATGGGAAAATAACAAGTCTTCAGGGAAGAATTGCCATGTCGTCGTCGGTCGCTGATCAGCTGTAATGAAAATTGTTTTTTACCAGGGTATAAAACAAGAATATTTTTGGATGTTTTATAAACATTTTTAAAGTTTTCCTAGCTCACAAATGTCCCTACACATTTTCACACTCCACAGCTATTGATTTGTCAAGTGGCCGCGCCGCAACCGCACGCGTCCCATGCCGCTCATCTCGACGACGCCTTTGTCACGTGAAAAAACAAGTAGAGCCAATAATAAAACCTTTGCTACTTCACGTGTCTTTCACATGACTATGTTTCTTCAAGTTACGTACAAGAGGCAGAGTTAATTGCCGATTGAAATATTCACAACCCACTCCCCTCCAAAAACCGTCTATTTTTCCATACTTGTTTTTCCTCATAACTGCTCAAACTGACACCACTTGACACACTTCAACCTCCAAGAATTTTTGCAATTCGTAGGGGTTTGGCATGCTTAGCGCTCCTCTGAAGGCTCAACCTGATACCACTTGACACACTTCAACGTCCGAAATTTTCGTAAATTGTGGGAATTTGAATCTACCACTGAAACTGCAAAAACCACAAAATTCTAAAAATTCCCCTAAGTTTCGTAAAAAAAAAACCCCAATCCCTAAAAATTTCCTTTTTCTATGTCTTATGATGTTGCCTGGCTAAATATAACCCCTCTAATTGTCCTGGACAATTGACCTTGGCAGAGAGCGATTTTGCAGCACACGAAAAATATGCTAACCGGTTCTATCCTCGTTTTAACATGTCAAAATAGCAACGCTCAGCGGTCACGTGATTTTCACGTGCGCCTTGTTCGCATCTTTGTGAATGCAACATGCGTTATGTGTTTTATATATGGACTTAAAGGCACTGGTTGCAGGACTTAAAGACCCCTGTGATTTCGAAAAAAATTGGATCATTAAAAACTGTGGTTGGATACTCGTATCTACGTAACTCCCAAACTCCAATTTTAAGCCATATTTATGAACTGTAAAAGCTTTACTATGATATTTCCTAGTCGTAGGGATGAAAATATGAAAATAAATGAATCAATGAAAAAAAAGGCGACGAACCATGATGTCTCCGAGGAGATAGGTGAGAATGGCGAAGATATTCATCAGCTGATTTCAGTGGTGTCTTTGTCGTCGTCGAGTGATAACAGCTGGAAGACCCCGCCGCTGGCGATGGCAGCGGCTTATATTGTCACCGAAGGGGCGCCGCAGTGTGAGAGCGGGGTGCACGAGACACGAGGTGATGCACGTACCGATGTGAGTGCGACTGCGAGACCGATCGTGATGAGCTGCTCTGACTGACACAGACTGACTGATTGACTACTGGTGGCCGACTGATTGACACTACAATAAACGACGACACATTGATCAGCTGATATACGAAAATAAATAACGCTCAGAGAGTTCATGACGATGGGCGTGGCGTGGGGTAACCCCCACCCTCCTTCGGGGTACAGTGCACATGACAGTAACTAATCTTATGTGACATAAAAACAAGATCAGAGATCACATAGAAGAACCAGTAACGACAATCAGTCAAGCCACAAACAAGGTGATTGATATTTTTGAAAATCGGCTAGAGAACATCTGTGAAGATGTCGATAATCGGAAAACGAAACATCCCTTGAAAGCCGTTTCGGTAAAAGAAATGATTTTGGAAATCGGACCACGATTTCCGCTCCCGAATTCCGAAAACCTTCGCTGATTTCAGACCCCTTGATCCCCTTTATAATTTTTCGAGAGATTCTATAGAGAAAGGTGATACGATCTCAGCTAAAGTATGGTGACTGACCGAGTGGAGGTGGTGTAGTGACAAGTGGCGCTGCAAATCATACGTGCTCATATCCAGGATCGAATCTCGCTAAAGTCAATCATAACCTTTCATCTTCACGAGTCAGTTAATTAGTGACGGACTTTTGTGGAAGTTTAGGAAAGTGAATTGTAAGTGGGATCGACCAGGTGGTTCAAACCATTCAAAAATCAATGGGATTCTGAATGAAAGTATGGTGCATGGCGCACCCTACAAACGGGTTGTTTGACGCCAAATTCTCCATTTTTTATCCTCTCATACTAACTGCACCTATCAATGCGATGCGATGTCCTTCGTCAAATGTCCATCAGTCTCATCTTTGAAAGGGCTGCTGAATGATAGTGTAGTGTTCGGGATTACCCATATTTTATGCATTTTAGGACCACTTTAGTCACTTTTGCATTTTCTCTGCCCGCGTTTTGTAGAGTTCTGTACTTAGACGCCAAAATACCGGTAAATTTCAATGAAGGGCCACACGTCTGTGTGTCCTCATAACCCACAACCAACTGGGTAGGTAATCAGGGGAGGGGAGGGGGAGGGCAAAATCGTTTGAACGAAAATTTGTGGTTTAGAACGTGCTAAACCGCAACTTTCCCTATCCTTCACCTTCTCTCTCTTCCCCCCCCCCCCCCCCCCCCCTCCCCCTGGCAATGCTGTTGAGCAGCAGGGCGCAAGCATGGGAATCTCTTCTCGCTTTCTGCCGAACAATGCCTAAATCCGCCTCTTTGTAGATCCCCTAGCCAGCGCATTACCCTGCATGTGACAAAATTGAGGGCTTTGGAGCGCCTGCACACACAACTCACTACTACCTAAGTGTGGTTGATGTGTTCAAAAATGAACCTAGAGGCGCAAAGAAAGCCCACTTGTAGACCGAAAGAAAGCTGAACGAAAACCACTTGAAAATATTGCAAAGGTAGCCATAGCCTTTTCTGGGAGTGGATATGGATGCTAATAGACGCTGTGGGCCGAGCGGCGGAGCAGCGACGAAGAGCAAGGACAAGTGGGGCGCAGACACTTTGTGAAGTACAAAAAAAAGAGTCACTCCTACTCACATTCAAAACAGAATTAATTACACTTTGCCAAAACCAAACCGAATGAGCTCAATTGCATATTGAAGAGCACATTCTATTCTATCAAAAACATTGCATAGTGGCCTTCTACACCGACGACACCAGAAGATTTTCCCACGGAAACATGGTTCGCGGTACGAGCTCAACGGGGTCGTCGAGAAACCATAGATGATTACGACGTCTCTGAAACGCTGGTCAAAAGCCATTTTGCATAGTCAGAGCTAGTGTCTCTAAGAAGTCATTCACCAGTTATCCGATTGAAGAATTATGTAGCAGCTTCAGAATGGAGCGATTATGGTAGGCCTCCTTGAGCTCGACGGTGATGACAGATGACGTCATATTCTGGAGACGGTGAAGCAGCGAAGGTGGGCCTGATTCTGCTTATGGGGGGACATCTAAGGAATAATTCGCCGTATAACTCCCAATAACAGCGGCATCCTTTGCGACGAAAAGTTTGATGATATGCGCCATAGGCAAAGTGACTTTTTTGCCCCCCCCCTGTATATTTGCATAGAGCCGACAGTAGAGCTCAAGTCGTATAAGCGGCATGATTTATGTCACACACTGAAGTGGAGGAAGGATGGTCCATCTAGCATATTATAGTAAATGTGTCATTTCTTTGATAGTCAATGTAATGGAAAAGGGAATGGCCACAAATCTTCCGTGAAAAGAGCGACTCGGCAATTCGAAACTCTACAGTGCGTTTCATTGGTATACGTCCACCCCTGATTTTACCAAAAACGTTTCTTGAAGACTTTGCCCAATTTAGCAGCATACATTATCGGATTCACTGTGTTAGAAAACTACGAAAAGCACGTTCTCAAAGAAGTAAGATTACGGGGAAATTTTTTAGAAGTACTTCTTCGATTTTCGACCGTTTCATAATATACGTCCACTCTTAGTATATTTCTCGAAATAAATTTTCCTGATCCAACCGAAGTGCGTGTTTGTACCAGATGTAGAACCGACTAGTCTTCTCGCGATGCCCGTGGTCTCCGTCTTTCTGTAGAGGAAAAGACTCGATTTCGGGCTCTCCATGATGGCGGACTCAGGCATCGGCAAACCACCAGACAAATCGACAGGATTCACTGCTTGCTTTGCTTTCATCTCAGAGATTCTGAAGGCTACCTCGACGGCGAAACTCCTAGACGCCAACGCAAGCTATCCGTCAGAGATTAACGAGAAATTTGGAGGAAAGTTTCCAGCAACACATGCAGCATCAACCAAATCCGTGCAGATTTGTAGGTGTTTGTCTCGAAATCCACCGTAGTGAGGGCTATCAAATGGAGCGGTGACATTGTGAGAGAATTTATGAGCAAGACCCACACCTAACCGGAGCACTCGAGTTGGCTCGTCTTGGTTTTACTCGAAACTGTAAAACTGGGCGCAGTTTCTGCACTGTAGAGTCTTTCAAATTCTTTGAATAGTCTTCTCCGACGAAAAGAATCATAACCCGGGCGCACACGGTAATGTCAGATGTAACTGGGGTGATCTGAAGAAAGACCCAGTGCAGATCAGCAAGCGCAGGTTTGGTATCGGTTCGCTGATAGTTTGAGGGGTTTCTGTGGGACAGAAGCTGGAGCTCGCATTTGTTTTTTACCGAATGGACTGATAAGAGCTTTGGGATCAAACTTATCGCTGTTCCTGAATTGCAGGCGGCGATAAAAGCTAATTTTCTAGCAGGACAGTGCAAGTGTCCATGCTTACAGGTCAACGTCTGCGTGGTTCTAACGACAGAAAGTGGTCGTTATGGAGCGGCCTGCACGCAGTCCTGATCTGAACTCCACAGAAAACTTTGGGGTGTAATTGTGCAACAGGTTCACGACAACAAAAGGCGGTTTTCCAACTTCTACACAATGAAAAGGCGATCATGGACGGGTGCTGCAGCATCGGCCCTTCAATCCTCGGCAGTTCAACAGTGAGTATGTCACATTGACTCATAGAGCTGCCATTCGAACAGAGAGCACCAATTGACAACTTATTTTCATTGAGCACTTTCTGACTTTGCATAAATAAACAAAATTCAAAGTGGACGTATACTATGAAACGGTCAAAAAACGAAAAAATGCTTCTAAAAAATTTCGCCATAGACTTGCCTGTCTGAAAACATGTGTTTCGTAGTTTTCCTGGACAACGAAT